TTGGATTAGTATAATTTGATTAATACATATAACATTACTCTTTCTTTTTTTAATTTAGGTTAAATAAATAATTTTAATTAATATAATTATTAATTATTAAATGATGTGAAAAGTGGTGATATGGCAATTGACGTGGCAATACCACGTAGCTCTTTCTGTTTGGAAGTCTAGCATTTCTCTATGTTTAAACACTAAACGGCTAAACTCTTACAAAACCATGTTCTGTCTCTTCTCCTTCACTTCTCAATCTCCTTAAAATCCGTGAACTCAACTCGAACTCAATATGGCTTGTCCAAGTTTCACTCTTTCTCCTTCTCCAAAACTCGTCTACAACAACAAGAGTTTTCATTTTCAAAATTTAAGCCCTTTTGTTTCATCAAACAGTAGCAAACACTCTTTCTCTTTGAAACCCCACCTCTCATTACTCATCGTTCTATCTCTAATCACGGCCGTTCTTCAGCCCACTCACGCGTCTTACCCAGAAATCAGAGCCGTCCATTGCTGTTGATGCACCCAGCAAACATGGTAAGCTTCTGGAACCGTGATTTTTCTGGGTATTGATATATTTTTTTTTACTTTTTTAATCTTTAAAATTGATGGGTTGTTGTTCTGTGGTTTTATAATCTTTGTTTGTGAAGTGGGTCAGTTCTTGTTTTGTAAAGTTTATAATTTCCTGGCGATGGGAAATGCTACTTTATCCTATATAAACCCGGTAAGGTTGCTGGATAAGCGTTTAGGTAACACATAAGGTGATATTGCTGTGAAATATGAATGTTTGAAATCATGTTTTAGTAGTAACATGCAATGTGTGATGGATAAAAGATAGCATTTTGATGTTGTAATTTGTCTGGTAACATCATAAAGCCAGCGTTGTAACACTGCCTTTTAGCAATAAGAAGAGTTAATTTGTTGATTCCTATCAACTTTTTGCCAGTTTGAAATTATTGGGAAGGAATTCGTTTGAATTTTGTGCTCAAACCTTTGATACTCCTGTTGTTAGGATTGTTGGATTTGCGGGTCCCATGTGGGTCACGTGATATGATTGATGAATATATGTTTGTATTGGAGGTTGAAGCATGGAAGATTATAAGCAATGCAGTGAGTATAGTAGTGCTATAAACCAATTGCAAATTGTGTTCCTGTTTTGTGTAATTTCATTGATGAATAGGAATCAGATAAAAGATAGAATAATATGTTCAAATGGATGATGTTGTTATTTGGTTATTTATGGATGGAGTAATTCTTTGATTTTTTTTTTTTTTTTCAATGGTGCAGAGGAGAGGGTGGTTGTGCTAGTTATTGGTGGAGGGGGAAGAGAACATGCCCTTTGTTCTGGTATGAAGCGATCTAGCTCTTGTGACTCTGTATTTTGTGCACCTGGAAATGCGGGGATATCTAGCTCAGGGGATGCAACTTGTATTCCTGATCTTGATGTTTTTGATAGTGAAGTTGTAGTTTCATTCTGCCGGAAATGGGGAGTGGGACTAGTTGTTGTGGGACCGGAGGCTCCTCTTGTTGCAGGTCTTTCCAATGATCTTGTAAAAGCTGGAATTCCTACTTTCGGCCCTTCATCAGAAGCTGCTGCTTTGGAAGGTTCTAAGAACTTCATGAATAATTTGTGTGACAAATACAGGATTCGTACCACTAAGGTTTGTGTTTTTTCTTTGGTCTCGATTAGGAAGTTAGTTATGAATTATGATCAGATCAAGAAAGTGACTGTGACTAGTCATGAATGTACCATCCTGTTCCTACTTCCTGCCTTTTGTCGGCAAACTAAAAATCTTTAAGTTCATGGTGTCTTTCTTCTTTCCTTCCTTTCACCAGAGAAATTCTTTCCTGATGCTTTGATTTGTTGCTGCAGTATAAAACATTTACAGAGCCATCTGCTGCAAAGAAGTATATTCAAGAGCATGGGGCACCTATTGTTGTTAAAGCAGATGGATTAGCTGCTGGAAAAGGAGTCATTGTTTCTATGACACTCGAGGAGGCATACGAAGCTGTTGATTCAATGCTTATTGAAAATGTTTTTGGTTCTGCTGGGTGTTGAGTCGTTATCGAAGAGTTTCTCGAAGGGGAAGAAGCATCCTTTTTTGCCCTTGTGGATGGAGAGAATGCTATACCTCTAGAATCTGCTCAGGACCATAAAAGAGTTGGATGGTGATACAGGGCCAAACACTGGTGGGATGGAGGCATACTCTCCAGCACCAATCTTGACCAAAGAACTTCAGTCTGTGGTCATGGAATCTATAATCCTCCCTACCGTGAAAGGAATGTCAGTAGAGGGATGTAAATTTGTCGGTGTCTTATATGCTGGGCTCATGATTGAGAAGAAGTCTGGCTTACCTAAGCTAATTGAGTACAATGTGCGATTCGGAGATCCAGAGTGTCAGGTTGTTAAAAAGTATCCCAGCATATATCTCTTAATATGATCCCGCTCATAATTTAGATATTGATTCAAATAGAAGTTTATTTCTTGCGGAGTTGTTCATGCCATCTATTGATGTATATGGGTTGGTGGTGAGATTTCTATATAGGTGGTTTGTAACAATGGAACAAGGTTGCAAGAGGAGAGTTCTAACGACCTATGAGATGCATGATATTGTTTTTCGTACCATAGGTTTTCTCTGTTCTATTTTAATGATTGGCAAGTGGTTGGGTAATAATAATATCTAGTTTGCATACTTTATGGTGTCTCGTGCTATAAGGAGGCAACTGACCATCTTTTGGGTTCATTTGCATGTTATAGCCAAGAAAGTTCAGTTTATGAGCATAAATGATGATATAATTTGATGTGGATTTCTCTTAACCATGTCTTATTACCCCATTAATGGTGCACAGGTATTGATGGTTCGCTTGGAGTCTGATTTGGTACAAGTTCTGCTTGCAGCATGTAGAGGAGAGCTAACTGGTGTGACGCTAAATTGGTCCCCAGGCTCTGCCATGGTGGTCGTAATGGCAAGCAAGGGTTACCCAGGATCCTACGAGAAAGGCACCATGATAGGAAATCTCGAAGAAGCAAAACAAGTTACTCCATCTGTCAAGATATTCCATGCTGGAACTGCACTTGATTCTGATGGCAACTTCATTGCCACTGGAGGCCGTGTTCTTGGGGTTACTGCAAAGGGGAAAGATCTTGAAGAAGCACGAGATAGAGCTTATCAGGCTTTATAGGAAGTTAATTGGCCAGGAGGGTTCTACCGGCGAGATATTGGATGGAGAGCACTTCCCCAAAAGCAACTTGCCTCACAAGGGTAAATTTATGTCCAAAAACTAGGGGTGGCTCATTTGAGGACACATATCATTCAATGTTAACTGTTGAAAATGGCTGATAGAGTTATCAAAATAATGTATTAAAAAAGCGTTTCCATGTTAAGCGAAATTCTGTTACCTGAGAAGTCTTCATCTTTTTTCTACCTTACATTAAAAGATTCAAACAAAGAAACTTAGAAACTTTCTAACCAATTCAATGCACAGAATCTACATGATTCACTATGTAAGGGTAGCGAGGTTGACTTTTTGACCCAAGCATTGTCTTTTACACATGTATATCCACAACTATGTAAATTTTCTCCATTAATATGTATTGGTATACTTGTAGTGAATTTTCCCTTGTTTTGAGAATTTTTATGATTAGATGAATTTTGGCTTACAAATTATTGTCATCAACTCTCATTGATAGCATTCTACATTGAATCTATTTCTTTCCTTTTGTTATCCTGTTTATTTGTCAAAGTGGAACAGCTTCCAGGCAGTACAAGGATGGCATTTGTTATTGTGTTTATGTATTTGTAATCTTATGGCATTGTTTTCATTTCTTATATTTGAATAGTGTTATGAGTTCCACCTTCTCGATAATGTCATGATTAATTTGAAAACTTTCAGATTCTTTTTTCACATAAATTCTGCTGTTTATCTGTTTCTTTTTTTAGTGATCCAGTTTCTCTAGCTGAAAATCTTAGTGTCTGCAAAAAGGATTTATAATCCTCACCTGATCACCTGATCGTTTGAATTTATCATTTCAGTAGCAAACTATCTAATCTTGTTAGATTCCTCGAGGAAGCTTTTTGTATAACTCTTTTTATCAGGGTAAAATGGAGAGACATGGAGTGTCCACCTTGTTTGTACAGCATTTAGTCACAGCAACATGAAGTTGATTGGTACTCCATTGACACATCAAAGGTTTATTATTCCAAGAATTGCAGGAACTTATCAGCAGGGTATCCAAACTGGTAAACACATTTTACTTAGGCATTCAAGACACATTCCATAGCTTCAATTTCTTGAAGATTCTACTTTCGTCTGGCGTTGGAGTTCTTGCTATTTCTGGTGATGTTTCATTCTCATGCTGAATCACCAGTTTTGATTATTCAATTCCAAGAGATTCATTGATGAGCTCAGTGTCTTCTCTCCTAGAAAATGTCTTATCTTTTTTCTTGCCTAAGGCTTGAACAGTTGGCACTTCTAGGTTTGGATTTTGATGCCTCCATTAGCGAAATCTCTCAGCTTCTTGTATCTGTATAATGTTATTTGATTTTTTTCTTTCAAGACAAAAGCATTGTTTTTTTTTTTTTTCTACATTTTAGTTTATGAATTTAGATATATTTCGTTCTTGTTCCAAACTTAACAGATTTTGTAACATTGATTGATTATCGTTTATATATATATAGAATAATTCTCTAGTTAAATTGTTTGGGGTTTTTGGGAGGTGGGTTTGTGTAGATTTTGGATTTTAAGGTTGAATTTAATTTTTTTAATAGGGTCGTTTTTTTTTTTTTTTTTTTTTTTTTTTTGTGTGTGTTTTAGTTATTTTTGCGTTTTTGAAGGTTGAAGTTGATGTTTTTATGTGGATTTTGGTTAGCTTTGGGTGGATTTTTATATTATTTTTCCTTTTGTCTAATTTTAAGGCTATCTATAGGAAATTTTGTGATTGGATTTGTTCAATTATTGAATTTAAGGTTTTAAGCTCATATTTTTATGTGGATTTGGTTAATAAAAAGGTTATGGAATCTGTGAATGATGTGATACTGATGAAACCACCCGATATGTGGTATACAGTAAGAAAACCAAGGGAGGCAAGCAGGGGAATTTGGGCTGTAACAAGAAAGATTCTGATGGATGAGGTGTGAGAGTGAGGTGTAAAGGTTGAGTGAGCTGTTAAGAATTGGTTATTGGGTGAACAGATGGCAGTAAAGGATGGGATAAGGGAATAATTCTGTTAGGAGGAAAAGTGAATAAAAAGGGGAGGCAATCGAGAGGATGATCATCAGAAAAATCATATGGGAAATCGGGGAGGGGCTGACCCTCGAAGTTCAGCAGGGATAGGAGTAATTTTCTGTTTAATTTGTAATTTCCTTTTATGTGAGGTTGGTTGATTCCAATAATTGTCTTTGTTTCACCCATTTAATGCTTTTCTTTGTTAATATGAAATATGCAGTTTCCATTTCCATTTTAATATCGTCATTCTCTGTTACGTTTGAGTTACTGTTTCTTTAATTTTGAGTTGTTGAAAACGTAGGGATCCAACAGATACTTTCTAAGGCTAAAAGATAGGTGTTTAGTTTTGTCTATTAGTGTTTATGCTACAAAAGGAGCTCACTTTAATTGGTTGAGTGAGATCAATCGTTGTTGTTTTGATTTCTTTTTCATTTTTGGTTTATCTCATGTCACATACTTAGATTTTTTGTTAATAATTTTTTTTTTTTTTTTTTTTAAATTTTAGGTTTTGAGGAAGCTTGTGGACGATGAATCGAAGTTTCTAAATGATAAAGTGACTAAAGCTTCGGTTGCAGTTCCTGCTTAGTTAAATGACTCACAGAGGACAGCTACAAAGGATGCTGGTTGTATTGCTGGCTTAGAAGTTCTTCGTATCATCAATGTGTCTACTGCTGCTTCTTTAGAATATGGATTTGAAAAGAAAAACAATGAGACTATCCTAGTTTTTGATCTTGGTGGTGGCACTTTTGATGTTTCAGGTACCGTCTTAAAAGTTCTCTGTTATGTCTACTGTATTTATGCTAGGTAATAGATGTCAATACTTAATTCATTCTATGCTGAGGAAGTAGTCTATGTTGAGTCAAAATTCTGTAACTTTTGTCCCTTTGATTAGAAAGGTGTGTTCATACTTGAATATTTGAGTATTATCTCGTTTATTTATTTATTTATTTATTTTTTTTGGAATTCTAGTGCTTGCGGTGGGTAATGGAGTGTTTGAAATGCTGTCTACATCAGGAGATACACATTTGGGTGGGGATGACTTTGATAAGGTTGGAATCTTTGCCTCATATGCTCTTATGCATGTATATGGTCTTTTCCTCCTCTGCAGTCTGTTTTGGTGCTGAATGGACTTACTTATCCCATATGAATGCAGAGGATGGTTGATTGGCTTGCTGCAAACTTCAAGAGAGGCGAAGGTATGGACCTTTTGATGGACAAACAAGCTCTTCAACGGCTAACTAAGACGGCTGAGAAAGCCAAAATGGAGTTGTCATCTTTGACTCAGACAAACATCAGGTATGTTGCTTGTACTTGGATGACTCTCTCTGTGGGCACATGGACAGCCCCTCCCTGATGCACTTATNCTTTTATGCATGTATATGGTCTTTTCCTCCTCTGCAGTCTGTTTTGGTGCTGAATGGACTTACTTATCCCATATGAATGCAGAGGATGGTTGATTGGCTTGCTGCAAACTTCAAGAGGGACGAAGGTATGGACCTTTTGAAGGACAAGCAAGCTCTTCAACGGCTAACTAAGACCGCTGAGAAAGCCAAAATCGGGTTGTCATCTTTGACTCAAGACAAACATCAGGTATGTTGCTTGTAGTTGGATGACTCTCTCTGTGGGCACATGGACAGCCCCTCCCTGATGCACTTATGTCTTACTGATTTTTTTTCTGTTTTGCTAGTTTGCCTTTCATCACTGCTACAGCAGATGGTCCTAAACATATAGAGACCACCATTACTAAAGGAGCTTGCAGACAAGGTTCCGCTCCAGTCAAAGAGAAGGTTGAGGCAAAACTAAAGGAGCTCAAGGTTGCGATTGCATCAGAGTCAACTAAAGCAATGAAAGATGCCATGGCTACCCTTAATCAATAAGTCATGCAACTTGGTCAGTCCCTTTACAACCAACCAGGTGCCTGGCACTGAAGCTAGACTGTCAAATTCATCAACCAAGGGATCTGATAGTGATGCCATTGATGCAGATTTCACTGAGAGCAATTGAGCAACTGCTCAGTCTTTTTGACTTTTGGTAATGTGTAAAAGGAATTTGATTTTTGGGGGATTGGATATGGTTTGAGCTATAATTTTTTGCCGTCGTTTTTGTTTCACGAGAAACAGATTCATATTGTTTCTAGGAAATATAGAGGATGATTTAGAGACCAATTAGAGAGAATCCGTAGTAGCAAAACCTGTTTCTTATTTGTGTATAATTTTTTTTATATAAATTTTAGTGAAATAATTATACATGCAGAATATATTTTGCAAGTATAAATCTAATTGTAAGGTGTGCTGATTATATATCTAATATTTTTTTCTGATTTTCATTTGTCATAAAAATACTTTTATGACAAATGAGGCAGCTCGATAGTGAAGAGACTAGAGAGAGGAAAGCAAACCCAAACGACGACAAGATCCCGCAGGTTGGAAAACTTGACAAATACACCCCTGTGATCCTAAGTACAACCCCGTGATCCCTTGCAGGTTTGAAAACCTGACAAACACACCGTTAACAACTTATCACATAATGAGAGGTGGAGAACAAAGAACATGAAAATGCAGAAAAGAAGAGAATAATGTATATTTGGAATCAAGATCGGAAATTACCATGAAATTGCCAACATAAAAGAACATTTACGAGTACTAGATAACAACATTTTGTGCTTCAAGAAAAAATGGGAAAGGGGTAAAACAGACCTACTGATGCCATAAGAGGGGCCCCCGTTAATCCTCCAAAAACGGAACCCTGGTTCCCTGATTTTGCAACTACATGCAAACGAAGAAAAAAAAAAAAAAAAAATTGACCTCAAATTAGAGAGGCAATGCATAGCAATTCAGGATATACGTAAAGAAAGAAAGAAAGAAAGTATAATGTACAGGCAAAGAGACCGCCACCCAGAAGCAGGACCCTATATGAGGCTGAGGTGACAGGAGCGAGCCCTGCCACAGCCAAACCCAGTTGAGATTTACAGCAGAAACACCGCCGGGTACCAAGGTTACATTTCCCATTCCTTAAATATGCAGCATTAGAGATGCTTCGAGGGAAAATCATTAGTCATTACTGGTATATCTAAACTCTTCACATCATAATCAGTATTATCATAATTCGAATCTGAAAATTTTGTATTTTCATCCGAAAAGACCTTAGCTGGGGCCGCTGCCGAAATCAGTACACCAGTGAACGACATCCTCAGTCTTCACAGTCTCGCACTTGCTCAACATTCACACAGCTGTGTCAATTCAACCCATTTCTTCTAACTCTAACGCTTAAATGGGCCATCAGTCCAATCAAGATCGGCCCAATATAGTTTAATTGAAAGGTTAGGCGGTTTAACTTAAATTTTAATAAAAATTCATAATCATCCATCTACTCCAATCTAATACTCCAAATAATTGACACAAAAATTAATTGGTGGATCAAAGAACATCTTACATAACTAGGTGTTTAGTACACATAAACTTTTAAAATATTTGTAATCAATATTAAAAAAAAATCTTGGTTATTTATTAGAATCTCTATTTACTTTTAGTATTATTCTATTGATTTAGTGTAGAATTATGAAATTTGAATTTTTTTTATTGAATTTGTGATGCTGATTTTGACACAACTATTTGTACTTGAGAAATGCTGAGCAGGCTCAGAAGTCACGCGTGATTATGAAAGTATTTAGTTGATTGGGTTTTGGTGGGGGGGGGGGGGGGGGGGGGTGAAGAACAATGTTTAAAGTGGTTCGGATGCTCACAAAGCGAATCCTACGTCCACTGATATTGTAAATGAGTGAAGTTAGATCACGTTCAGCGAGCTGAATTATAGCTTAGAGAATACAAGAGAAAGAGGGAGAGAGAGTATGTTATTCCAGAGTGAAATTAGTCAATCCCACAATAGGAGAGAAGTCCTATTTATAGTGGAGGAACCAAAGTAATGATTACTAAATCTGCAAATGTGGTAGATGCCGTGCAAATCCAGCTCTGCATCCATTGCTCATTGCCCGAGTGATTTCCTTGACTCATGCAGGGATTGGACACGTGGACCGTTTCCAACCATACGCCAACCTGACGTACACCACCACCTGGCAGGAGCATACCACTCACGTCATTACGCAATGTAACCACATCTGAACGGTTGTAGAACCTTCTCAAGCTCTGACCACCCATGCTGACAGGGCTCTACATCAGTCCTACTTTTCTAGGCATAACAAATATATTTAATAGAGGTTGAGAGTAGTGATTTGGGTTTAAATAGTCCCTTCCAAAATAATTTTATATATTTTAAAGAAGAAAAATATAAATAGTTTAAAGTGATAATTAAGAAATAAAAATTATTCTGGTTTTCACTTCAACGGTTGGATACTCTAATTTGACCATTGATAAGCAAATCTTGGTCCCAATAGTTTTTATAAGGCAATAGAGTAGGTATCAATATCATGTTCCTTGTGTTAAATAAAAACAAATATTTTGGTTTAAAAAGAACAGGCAAGACCTCCTCCATATGGGATTTTTTTTTTCCCGTATTTTGGTTGAAAAGTCAATATTGATATCATAGAGACACGATAAGTTGTAAAAAGAATATGTTTAATGGCCAAATGAAGTTTTAAGGGTTTTTTTTTTTTGGTTTTTTTTTTTTTGGTAATTTTCACAATAATTCCCGCACATAAAAACTATTAATTACCTGAATAAAATTATGTACACTAACTAATTTAAGCTAATCCAAATACTAATATTGAAATTTTAAAATTTCTTCAAAATAAAAAATTCGAATTTTCAATGTTAATACTTAAATTAATTAGTACATATACCATTACTCTAATTACCTACTCTGACTGCATAACTTTTTTTTCTTTAGTAGAAAATGTTGTTGAAAGATATTAACAAGATATGGTAGAAACTATATATTGAAATGGATCTTATCTATGTATTTTCAAGGACAAATTAAAATAATAAAGATTTATTTGAATTTGATTATGTTTTTGTTTTCTGACTGAAGTTCAAATACAACAATTGATTACAGCCTTTAACACTCTGTCGGCACACACGCGCGTCATATACCCACAATCACGATGGTACTATGACATGCAGCAAATTTAACTACAAAGAAGAAAAATTAATTTACAGTTTTTCACATTAAAGGTTTATGGATTAATTATTTACTTGTGAATCTTTGTTTGTTGAGAGAAGATTTTATCCTCCATAGTATGCAAGATTTCACTAGCAGAAGGCCTGTGAATGGGAGCCTGTCGAAGGCAAAGTTCAGAGATTGATAGCATGGTCCTTGCCTCTTCCAAGTCAAACTCCCCGCCCAACCGTGGATCCACCATTTCTTTTACTTTCTTGCTTTCACATTCAGAGACATCTTTCAGGACGGCTGCTGCTAAAGATGTCAATAGTTGACCTCTTTCGGGGCAAAAAGCCGCCATACCCGTTACAAGTTCCAAAAGGATAACTCCATAGCTGTAAATATCATTCTTCTTTGAGGCTATTCCAGTTCTCAAGTAGTGAGGGTCTGTGTAACCTGGAGAACCCATCATCACTTGCTTGGTCCTTGACGGTGGCAGCACAACCGAAGAAAACCCCATCTTTGCAGACCCAAAATCACAGAGCTTGCAGTTGAAATACTCGTCCAGAAGGATGTTTGAAGATTTGATGTCACCGTGTACGATGTGCAGGGTGCATTTCTCATGTAGATACTCAATTGCTTTGGCAAGCTGGAAAGCTATAGCCATACGGTTTTTCCAGGGAAGTATTGACTCCATCCTTTTGCTTCCTCCATGGAGCTTCTCATGCAAGCTCCCATTCGGCACGTATTCAAACACCAGAGCGCCTTCATCTGCATAACGATAAGGACACCATGGCATCAATATATAACTCAAGAAAACTCAAATAAGACTAAAACCATAGATTGCTTTGCAATCGCATATATATATATATATATACATATACCTTTATCGTTACAGTAGCCGAGAAACTTGACAATATTTTCGTGGCAAAGGCGGAGCAGGATATCTAGTTCTTGCTGGAAGACCTGATTGAGAATCTTGATTGCCCCTTGAGGGTGAATGGAACCAGGTAAACGAGCCAGATAGACGTTACTAAACCCTCCTGATCCAATCACTACCGAAAAATTATTGGTGAATGTCTCAATGTCGTCCCAACTGTATTTCTTTGTGGAAGAACCATCACCATCCTCCGCCTTTTGATCAACCACGACTCCAACTTGATTATTACTGGGTCTGCGTCTCAATTTTTTGATCCTGAACAACTTGGCGAAGAAGGCCATTACAAACAGTAAGACTAGTAAGAGAAGAACAGAGGAAACAAGGGCGGGCTATGAGGGTCAAAGTTGTGGGATTTAAAAGGAGATATTGTCGGTGGATAATTATTAAGGAGTGAGTAGCGGTAGGACCAAAAGAAAAAGCGGTAGCCTTAGCGGGTATGGGGTGGGAAGCGACGCAGAAGGTGAGTTGAGAAGACAAGAGAAATTAACAAACACCAAAACCTGGAGACAAATAGACCAGCAGTAGCGGTAGGAGGAAGTCTTGAAATTGAAACACTCGCTTCTTCCCCTTTGTTAGATGTCAAACCCTGGAAGGGACAATCCGACAGGCATGGAATCCTCTTCGATCTATCATATTTAGATAAAGATACAGAGGAAGAAAGGGTAGAGCAGAGAGATTTAGAATAAGACGGACATTGGATCACGAACAGAACACAATTAAAGAAATCATTTTTCTACATTATTTTAATCGTGATGTTATTAAATTAAAAAGAAAATTCTAGATGATCCCGTCGTTCATGAGTCTATCTCAGATGGGGTGGATAGATAGTAGTTTTCAATCTTCTTTAACACGTGGCTTCTTTTGCAATGGTCCACTTATAATTTTAGATTAATAACATAACCAAGAACAATTTGAATCTCAGATTTATTAAATATAACAGTAAAAGCATTTGATGCAAAACACAACTAGCGAATGGTTAATCACACTTGCGCATTCACATCGTTTTAGTTGAAATTGAATGTTTGGTGTGCCATCAATCATTCTTTACATATGCAAATCATACATACAATGTATATATGCCCACGTGTTTATTTATTAAATGGTCTCCATCCAGGGCGTTAAGTCTTGACTTTGTATTTGATAATTTTTTTCAATTGCAGCTGCAGGCAATACACCTTTGTCACAAGTTGTTACCGAATATTACATAGATTTATCATATTATTGATTTGTGTGGGAGAAATTGTCTTGTCCGCGTGCCAGAACAGCAGACAATGAAAGACCGGAGTCATTGTTCCATGCCATCTTGACATGAACCAATTTTGGAGAGTCTCTAATTTTATAAAAGATCTTAATATATGTTTACTAGTTTTGTTACATAAATTAATCAATAACTATATAATTTTCTATTGCTTCCATCTTTTTCATTTCGTGACCAATTTTCTGAAGCTCCCATATCATACCACTACTAGGAATGCAAAACTGAAACTCAGTTAACTTTTAGGTTATATATTCACAAATTCACTGGAGAGTGGTCCATTTTCCCCTTTAGGGAGCCAACTCTTAACATTTATCTATCTTGACAGTATAGCTAAAATTTAATCTTGGTAATATCAATAGGTTAAATTTAAGAATGTTTTTATATCACAAAATGAAAAACTGTTGGTGTTGGGGAGACTCTTTATCTCTGAGTTCAATATTGTCTCATCCACCAAGGACTAGAGTTGATTCGATCAATTTGAGAAAGCTGAAATCCACGTGTCTCACCCCAAGAAAGCCTACCACGTAAATTAAAGGAGAATTTTTCATTCACCAAACCTACAACCCTCACAACTTCATTCCTCTCTATAGATAATGAATTGTAAAGATGACACACACATCAGCAACCAACCTTTCTCTTTTACCAGGCCCAATCCCCTCCCTTTGAGATTGGTGTCGAAATCTAGCCACTGGCAATAACAATATTCTTCAAATTCTCTTTACCAATTATTATAATTAATTACATTTTTATAAATTAATGTAATGTTTATTTAGATCATTTTTAATCAATTTTAATTATACAAAAATTTATATTTGATATAGCAATATTATTTAACAAATTATAAAACTATATTTTACACAATGTTATGTGAATTTAATAATACAAACACATTAAAGGGCGTTTAAATCATATAATGTTTTATTATAAAATGATATTATATTAACGGAAAAATAAATCATCTTGAAGATTATTGTGAATATTTAAGAAATATGTTTTGTTGGTTCGAATAAATTGGTGAATAATATGCTTTGTTTGGAGGATAATTTGGTAGGCATGTTATATATATTACTAAATTACACTCTTTTTTAAATATTAATATAATATTATTTTTGAATTATCTCTTTTAATCTCCTACATTTAAAATTTTGCTAAAACACCTCAGTCATATAAAACTTTAATTTGTAGCAAAATCACCCCCACCTATCCCAAGCCATTGTCGGCAGTCAACCACCACCGCCAACCGTCATCGGTAGTCGACTGAATGACACACGACTAGCGGTATATGGCCGGTTGTGTGCCGACAGCCATTTCACAACCATATCTTTGGCCGTGAAATGGCCATCGAAACAACTAAATCTGGCCAGAAAAAAGCCTTATTGGCGCATGACCACCTAGATCCCACCGGTCGCGCGCCATTATGACGATTGACGTCGACGACCGACAATGGTCTTGGGTGGCTAGATGTATTTTATTAACTTTTAAACTTTGTTTGTAGCTATAGTGTTTTAACTAATTTCTCAAATGTAGGGCGCTAGATAACTATCATTTGGTAGACATTTGAGAGTAAAATAAAATTAGATTGCCTAATAATCTTTTAAGAACACCCAGGATATCGAATTACCCTCTACATTACCAATAATAAATACTATTTACAATAAAAGATGTCCGTAATATTTTATTACTTACAAACCAAACATCATAATTTTACAAAATAAATAAAGATTACCCTATTATCTTATATGCCTTAATCCAAACACATCCGTTAAGTTTTATTACTTTAAGAAAAAAAATATATTGTTTAATATCATTTATCAATCGTGTACAAAAAGTTATTTTTAATGCAAATTAACATCGTGTATGAATAATTTCAGGTAATTGGGCAAACCGTGATTTCCTAAGAAACTCAATTGAATAAAAGCAAAAGCCTGTGTTGAACAAGGAGGAAAAAAACAAATAGAAAATGAAGAAGGCATTTAAAATTTCAAGGAAGGGTTCCGGATACAACAACGAACAGAGAGCGGAATGCAACTCATTTATGTGTAATCATACATATACCATAAAATCCCAACGGACATCTCTTTTAATATTTGTCCCCATTGCGGTTATAGGTTGGCTTTTCAAAAACACCCTAGAATCTTACAAAACTTATCAAGGAAATGATCGTTGCCAGACATGGTGATAATCTCCTCTTATTGTAACACTACTTCTACTACTATTACTGATACTAATGATCTCCGTTTACTGGAGAAGAATTCATTCCGTTCCCCGCTTCTTCGCTGTCGAAGCCGTCGATCGCGACATAATCGTACTGGTACCGCTATTGTCATCCTCGCTGCACTCCTCCTCTCCACCACGGCTTGGCTATCTCTCGTCTTCTCTGGAACCACTACCCGTTGCTGGCTAAGCTTTAAGAACTGGGAAGCAAGCCCCCATTCTCGTTTTGATTTTCATTCTCATTACAAACCCTCATCCGCATCCTTCCCCTCTCCGCCTCCGCCTCCGCCTCCACCTTCATCCACATCTCGCAATCGCAGTCTGTCTGAGCAGGAACAAGAAGAGGATTTGTCTCTCAAGCACATAGTCTTCGGAATCGCTGGATCCTCTCGCCTCTGGAAACACCGCAAGGAGTTGGTGAGACTGTGGTGGCTTCCTAGTATGCGTGGCCATGTCTGGCTGGACAACATGGTGCCTTCTGAGAAGGACGATCATTCCTTACCTCCTATCATGCTTTCCGAGGACATTTCCCGCTTCCGCTACACCAATCCCACTGGCCATCCTTCTGGACTTCGGATCTCTCGCATTGTCATCGAATGCTTTCGCCTCCGACTACCTAATGTTCGCTGGTTTGTTCTCGGTGATGACGACACCGTTTTCAATGTTGATAATCTTGTTGCTGTTCTTAGCAAGTATAATCCTTCTGAGATGGTTTATATAGGTAGCCCCTCTGAGAGCCACTCTGCTAATACCTATTTTAGTCACTCTATGGCCTTTGGAGGTGGTGGGATTGCCATTAGCTACCCGCTCGCCGAAGCCCTCTCCAAAATTCACGATGATTGTCTTGAGAGATATCCTAAGCTCTATGGAAGTGATGACCGGCTACATGCCTGCATTACCGAACTAGGCATTCCTTTAACTGTAGAGCATGGCTTCCATCAGGTATTGCTGTCTTTAATACTTTGTAGTATGAGTATGACATAGCTGTTTGGAAATAGGATTGAGCAATTTACTTTTTTTTTTTTTTTTTTTTTTTTTTTTTTTTTTTTTTTTTTTNTGTATGAATAATTTCAGGTAATTGGGCAAACCGTGATTTTCTAAGGATCCGTTTGGGAGTTTTATGGTAGCGATTATGAGGGTAAACCATCGTAACAGTTTTGAGGGTAAACTACTGAAACGGTTTTGAGGGGTTTTTAGTAGCGGTTTTTAAAACACCCAACTTGTGTTTGGGAGAGTATTTTCCAACGGTTCTAACAATTTTTTAAAATGATAAATTTACATATATGCCCATAAAAATACTCAAACTTTAACAAGTATTTGAGAGTTTTTTTTTTTTCAATTACCAATACTTAGTATCAAAATTCCTTCCAAGTTTAATTTATTTGTAAGCTCTTTCATTGTATATTATTTAATTCATCACACAATCATTCGAAATCTGTCATTTTAAGAGAATAAATATGCTGCCACAATATTGGACTTCGCAAATTATCAATATAACAGTCGCAACAACATTTCTAAAAAACTGTTTTTTGTTCTTTTCTTTAATCAGTAAAGCAAAGCCATAAAAAACAATCTCTATTTAACAATCTGACAATGATTCAATCAATCACCTAAACGTAAATAGAAAGAATCAAATAAAGGAAAAACCATCTAATTTTGTAAAACAATTGGTAAAGAAATGCAATTAAATTGTATACAGCCTGTAGAGGAGTTTACCAGATTAAAAGAACAAAAAGTTGAAGGGGAAAATGAAGAATAAAAAAAGAAAAACCTTCGTATCTCTAATGAAGGATTAGAAAGTCTAAGATAAAAGATTCAAAAGCATTGTAACAATGATCTAAAAGTTGACGATTGAATGGGGTTTGAAGAAATTTTTAAACCAGCAAATGGATTATTGTATATGAATAATAGTGGAAAGGGGTTTTCTTAGGATAAAAATTTTTAAACCAGCCAAAACACCCTAATTTGGAGTATTTTATAAAACCCTTAAAAATACACTATACTGGTTTTAGAGAATTTTTAAATCAGTCAAAACTAGTCCATAAAAGTCTGGTAAATAATAGGCTTTAAACATTTCAAAAGTAGTCTAATTAAAAATCACTCAAAATCAGTGGAAAAAAAAAAAAAAAAAAAAATAAAAAAAAAAAAAACAAATACCTAAAACGGGCCATCTCCAGGAAACTCAATTGATAAAAGCAAAAGCCTGTGTTGAACAAGGAGGAAAAAAACAAATAGAAAATGGAAGGTATTTAAAATTTCAAGGAAGGGTCCGGATACAACAACGAACAGAGAGCGGAAGTAATCATTTATGTGTAATCATACATATACCATAAATCCCAACGGACATCTCTTTTAATATTTGTCCCCATTGCGGTTATAGGTTGGCTTTTCAAAACACCCTAGAATCTTACAAAACTTATCAAGGAATGATCGTTGCCGACATGGTGATAATCTCTCTTATTGTAACATACTCTTCTACTACTATACTGATACTAATGATCTCCGTTTACTGGAGAAGAATTATTCGTTCCCCGCTTCTTCGCTGTGAAGCGTCGATCGCGACATAATCGCACTGGTACCGCTATTGTCATATCGCTGCCTCACTCCTCTCCTCTACCACCAGGCTTGGTATCTCTGTCTTTCTGAACCACTACCCGTTGCTGGCTAAGCTTTAAGAACTGGGAACAAGCCCCTTTTGTTTTGATTTTCATTCTCATACAACCCTCATCCGCATCCTTCCCCTCTCCCTCCGCTCCGCCTCCACCCTCATCCACATCTCGCAATCGCAGTCTGTCTGAGCAGGAACAAGAAGAGGATTGTCTCTCAAGCACATAGTCTTCGGAATCGCTGGATCCTCTCGCCTCTGGAAACACCGCAAGGAGTGGTGAGACTGTGGTGGCTTCCTAGATGCGGGCCATGTCTGGCTGGACAACATGGTGCCTTCTGAGAAGGACGATCATTCCTTACCCCTCATAGCTTTCGAGGACATTTCCCGCTCCGCTACACCAATCCCACTGGCCATCCTTCTGGACTTCGGATCTCTCGCATTGTCATCGAATGCTTTCGCCTCACTACAAGTTCGCTGGTTTGTTCTCGGTGATGAGACGACACCGTTTTCAATGTTGATAATCTGTTGTGTTCTTAGCAAGTATAATCCTTCTGAATGGTTTATATAGGTAGCCCCTCTGAGAGCCACTCTGCTAATACTATTTTAGTCACTCTATGGCCTTTGGAGGTGGTGGGATTGCCATTAGCTACCCGCTCGCCGAAGCTCTCCAAAATTCACGATGATTGTCTTGAGAGATATCCTAAGCTCTATGGAAGTGATGACCGGCTACATGCCTGCATTACCGAACTAGGCATTCCTTTAACTGTAGAGCATGGCTCCATCAGGTATTGCTGTCTTTAATACTTGTAGTATGAGTTGACATAGCTGTTTGAAATAGGATTGAGCAATTTACTTTTTTTTTTTTTTTTTTTTTGGATTTTTTATTTTTTTGTTGGCAGTGGGGAATATTAGGGGTAATGCTCATGGTCTATTATCCTCTCACCCTATTGCACCATTTGTATCCATTCACCATGTTGAAGCTGTGGATCCTTTTTATCCTGGTTTTACATCTTTGGATAGTTTAAAACTCTTCACCAAAGCCATGAAAACGGATCCCAGGAGCTTTTTACAGCGATCAATTTGCTATGACTGGGCAGGCCGTTATACATTTTCGGTTTCACTTGGTTATGTTGTCCAAGTCTACCCAAACATCGTGCTTCCCCGTGACCTGGACCGCTCTGAGAAGACTTACTCTGCTTGGAACAGAATAAGTAACCGCAATGAATTTGATTTTGACACCAGGGATCCTCATAGATCTATTTGTAAAAAGCCGATTTTATTTTACTTGAAAGATATAGATGGACAAGGCAATGCTACAGTGGGATCGTATGTACGAGCTACAGGAAAAGATTATTTGAAAAGAAAAGTTTTCTGCTTCCCACATTCACCTCCACTGCGTCACATCAAGAACATCCAGGTGTTGGGCCATCCTCCCAGGAAGAATTGGCATTTGGTGTGTTTCTTTCTTTTCTTTCTTTCTGTGATCTCAGTTTCTAATAACTAATGTTTTCAATGCCCTTGGACAGGTACCCCGTCGATTTTGTTGCAAAGTAAACCAAACTGATGATGAAATCCTTAAAATAACGGTTGGCCAGTGTGGGAATGGAGCTTTAAGTTCTGTTACTGATTCTGTGTGAATGCTGGACCGGATGGTGGCTATTGGTCTGAGCACAACTATATAGAATGTGTTTAGTTAAGAAGAAGGGCTCTCAACTACCTTAGTCTTTTTACATTGTTTAGCCATATCGATTTCACCTCTGTTTTGCAACGACCATTAGTCAACTTACATCCAGCATTTTCAAAACACTTGCGTGCAGATTGCAGGTAAGAGTGTGTCATTGCTAATCCTCCGTTTGGAGATACATTCTTTGCCTTCACTTTTTCCTCGGAAGGTAATTACTGTTAAACCAACACCTAACTATTGGAAATTGCTAATGAAATGAGCAACAATATTGGCAGTTTTACAAATTGAAATGCTAAAGTTAATTGTCTTGTACCTTTAAGGTTCTTCTGTTGTTTATACTTTCTGTGTACTCAGTTTGCACTCCTCTGGTTTTCTTTTGTGATTCTTTGTTTTTTTCCTTTTTTCTTTTGGTATTAAAAGGCGAGGAAACGGAAGATTGTGGTGTTCTTTTATGGGGTTTTGTTTGAAAGTTGTCCAGTGGTGTAATTGAATTGAATTTGAAAATTGCTCAAGATGAGTCCAACATAAGGAGCTTTTAGAGTGTAATGCCATTTTCTCGAACAAAATATAACCTGGTGGGTAAATGATTGGGATAGAGTATTGCTATGACTCTATCAAGTACAGGCTTAACCTCAGTACTGATGAATTTTGGTAATAACTGATTTGTGGATTGCCAACATCTTGGCATTTGGATTTATACTGAGCGAAGAAATGGTATTTGGAACATGAAAAAAGTGAATAAAAGTATTTTAGAACCTAAAATAAAGGACAGGAGAGTTTTCTTAGATAGGGGGAATTAGGTTATTAAAATCCTTTCCCCAGTACTCATTGCTGGATTTAGAACCCTTTTCGCCATTTAGGTTTACCCAACATGCATTAGAGTAATGAAAAGACTTGAAAACAATTGGACAATGAGATATATCACTGGCAGAATTCAAGGAAGTCTCTCAAGTAGGTGCATGTCATGTATATAATGCTTTTTATTTTCAAGTATGTAATGAATCTGTGAAAAAATAACTACTAGTCTATCTTGCCATTATTTTTCGGATTGCAACTCTGACAATGATTGTTTGTGTATCCTTTGTGTTTGGAAGTTAGTGAATTTATAAGAAAAAGAAAAGAGATATATTCTTATCCTTGTACATGAATAACAAAAATGATTGCCTGTGATTGATTTTGCTTGTGCCTTAGTTTCTTTTTGGATAAAATTAAGAACAATAGAATTCAGCATACTGTCTGCAAAACATCCACTTAAGGGCATCCATTTTGTGTTCTAATTCAAGCATGAATTAACTAATGGGTCAAGCTACTCTTAACTTAAATTTTTTTTACTAAATGTAATGCTAATTTTGGCCATTGATGTAATGCAATGTGGTGGATGGAGGGAGAAATTAGAGGTAGTTAGGTTTAATGTGAACTTAACATTTTTAACATGATTTAGAATTTGTTATGTGTTTATGTAATATAATCTAGCGGAGCTACGACTTGATGAAGCTTACTTCTTATCTTAGGCTCATTGAGAAAAAGTGTTCTGGTTTTGTCACTTGGGTTGCTTTGACTTAATTTGAGTTGAGTTCGCTCAGCTCATGATTGCGTCCTCAATAGTGTGTGGCCATGATGGGATAATAATAGAACAGAGAAGGCCACTAGACTGAGAGATGATTTTATATCTTTCTAGTGACTACATTTCATATGTACATAAAAGATGACCTTCGAAAAAAAATACTAGATTTATCACTCTGCCATGACTTATATGATTCTGTACGGATTTTCTTATATGAGTCAACATTGAGGGGATGTTTGTCGTATATCACAACTTAAAAATTGTTGTACTTTAATTTAGATGGCATATTTGAAGTTTAATTTGACTATACAGTATGCCTGATATATGAATGCTTTTGAAAGTTAATAAGTTGATGTCTTAGAGCTTGGGTAGAATCGTGATGTAGATAACTCAAATTGCTTATGGGTGTTTAATTTCTATATCCCTGGGTAACATAAATGGATAATTGCACATTATATACAAATAGTATTATCGTTTGTTTGCCCTTGTGATTTTACTTCGTGTTTATTGCTTCTAAGTCTGTTAACAACTTGGTGGCTTCTGTACCAATTTGATTGACATAAACAGAAGGTGATGATATTGAAGTTAATGATGAACATGATATTGAGGGCCGAGTAAACTTCCAAAAGGGCAAGAGAGATTCTTTGCGAGACTTGCATCAAAAGACTTGTGGCACTAATATGAATAAGCCACTTAAAAACTTGTAGATGCACGTTGTTTGAAGTGGTGAAAGAGTGTTGGAACAAATAGATCCTCAGTGTAAGTTGGTTTTAAAAAGGCGAAGTTGTAGTTGGAGAGCACATTAGACCTGGCCATTGCAACAGTGACTGGATCAAAACGAGGGAGGTTTCAGAAAAACATCACTTTGCCTTGGATATATGGTCAAACCTTATATGCTTAATCAAAGTGGGCCTTTTGGCAATGTCGGGCCTACTATTTGAAAGTGATCGGGACTGGGTTTCTAATATTTGTCTTTTGATATTTTTTTGTTTAATAGAAATTTGATAAAAAAGTTTATTTAGATTGAAGTGTTTAATTCTTGGTTGGCTCCTTCTTCCATGCTTGACCCAAAAAAAAAAAAAAAAAAAAAAAAAAAAAAAAACTTAAAACGATGTTTCAAGGATTGAAGGAATTATTGTTTGATAAAAGTATAATTGTAGAAATGTAGAATAGGCTTGGTATGCACAATCATGATGGCCGGGCATTTTTGCAAGATAATCTCTTTCTTCATAAAGTACAAAAATGGCGATGAACATTTTCTTGCTTATATTTCCCCTATTTTGTTTCTCTGGATGTCCTTTTACACACAACCTCACTATTTCACTGAAAATTGGAATCATAAGTAACCCACGCAATCCGCTCGCTTGCCGTATTACATGATATTTGCGAGCTTAACATATGACCAATTTGAGACCATTGTTTTGGTACATTTAGATATATAAATGTATTGACAATCTGTATGAGTAAAAAGAAAGATTAGAGGAATTGAAATGAATAGAATAGAATAGAGGAAGAGGAAATGAAAATGAAGCAAGAGGCATGTCACCGATTTGGCATAGCATAATGGGTAGATGCCTGGCAGTTGGGGGGTTCACAAATCCGGGAGAAACGCCACGCACGTTCTTACCACCTCATTTGTTGCCCCTCTACAGCTGTACCAATCTGTTCTTGTCCCTCCCTTTCTTCCATTTCATTACGATATTTTCCATTTTTGTGTGTTTAAACGCCTTTAGTTGTCTTTAATTATTATAATATTATTGTTATTCAATTACTACCGCAATCAAGTTTTAATTACACACCGTTATAATAACCTACGCCCCATCACATGGAACTTATTAAGCTGTCAGATGGGACCGACAAACTTTTTTTTTTTTTTTTTTTTTTTTAACTAAAGTCATCAACTGACTGCCACTACGCCCCCCCTTCTCGTGTGTGTAATTGGAGCGTGACTGGTATGTATCGATTGCGATTAAAATTCTAGATGTAGATCTTACTTGTTTCTTTTCCTTTCTAAGCCCTTTGGTTAACTTTTAACTCTAGTTAAGTTGGAGCCTACTATTCTGATTCCTTTCTCAATTTTTAATATCCCAATCCTCTCCACCACGTCTTTAGACTTGAACATTATTGAACTCCAAAACTAAGAGAGTATGCACCTGGATTTTTATCAAGAGATCCTCAAGAAATAAAATTTAAATATTTCTGTATGTATAATAAAATATAAATTAATGGAAGAAATGTTGGTAAAAGTGGTTTTAACAATTATTAGCACAAAGTGAGACCGCTGACAACACAGCATCTCCTTGTTTTTCATTTCACTTCCCCTTTTCTCTCTCTTAATCATCACACCCTCAAAATCGTCATCTCCATTCATTTTTCTCTCTCTCTCTCTCCACAACTTTCTCTTTTTACTCTGTCAATTTTGCAGTACAGTGCAGTGCAGCGCGCAGTTGATGATGATGATTATGCCCTTCTGCTTATCTTCTCTTTCTTCTTTACTGCTGGCTTTCTATATGTTTTTCCTTTTCATGATTTTGCCAGATTAGTATATATTTATTTAATAACTAAAAAGGAATTTAATCTAAATCAGGAGGAGAGCACTAACTCGTAGGAATTCTCTTGCTAGCTTTCAATCTTTCCAGTTGTCTACTGTTCCGTCTTTCTTCTTCTTCTTTTTTATATATATATTTTTTTTTGTTGGTTAAATCATTCTTTTAAACATCTTTCGCCAAACTTCTCTTCTCTTACTCTTTATCTCTCACAACCTGTCGTATCTCGCTTCAATCTCCCATTCCCCTTCAAACCAACCTCCCTCCCTAGCTAAGCTAGCGGTTAAACAAGAGTGAGGGAAGGAAGGTGATACAAGTTTTGTAAATTATTTCATATTAAAAGAGATGGTGATGCACATAAAAAGCCAAGGAATTTAATTTGTTAGAGAAGTGGTGTGGAGGTTATCGTTGATAAATAGAAAGAAAGTATGCGCAAGGAGTGGCTCCATCTCAATACGCGGAGATGACTCCTGCTGCAGCTGGAGCTGCAACTACAACTACAACCTCACACATGGGGCAGCAGCCAGTAGAATCAGCTTCACCAATTAGCAGCCGACCACCTAGTAATTTGGATGAACTTATAAGACTTTCTTCTGCTGGTGGTGGTGGTGGTGGTGGAGGAGATGAGGATACAGAAGGCGATCGGGCAGGAGGTGTTGCGAGCGGCAACAGGTGGCCTCGTCAAGAAACACTAGCACTTCTCAATATTAGGTCTGATATGGATGCGGCCTTCCGTGATGCCACCATTAAAGGTCCTCTCTGGGAAGATGTCTCCAGGTATAATCATTATAATATTACTTTTTTAAATTTTTATATTTCTTATTTGCTTAATTAAAACTTCTCTTCTCGAGATCTCTCAATTTCATTTTGCACACAAAACACAAACGCACATGCCTTCTATCTCTTTCCGTCACGACTCACGAGTAGGGCATCTTTTCTATCTTTCTTTCTACCTATTTACAAGTGGCCCAGATCTGCTGCATGTATTCTATCCAATCCCCTCTTACCTTCTTTCTATTTTTATCATTTATTTAATCTATATCTAATTTTGAAAATCCCGAGACAAATTCTTTCAATTTTCCAAGACCACCGCCACTATCTACTTTTTCATATTAATTAAATCCGATCCATCTTCTTGATTTTGGTTACAAGGGCGGAGAAAACGTTTATAATTTGCCATTACCGTTGATGACAGGAAACTAGCAGAGTTGGGATATAAACGTAGTGCCAAGAAATGCAAAGAAAAATTTGAGAACGTTCACAAGTACTATAAGCGAACAAAGGAAGGAAGAGCTGGTCGTCAAGATGGTAAAAGTTACAAATTTTTCAGCCAGCTCGAGGCTCTTCATACAACCACTGCCACCACCAGTAACGTGTCAGCTTCCTTATCAATGCCAGTGACAACTGTCACCACCACCTCCTCCAACACAATCACTTTAGATGTTGCTCCTGTCTCAATAGGGATCCCCATCCCCATCTCTTCATCTGTTAGAATTCCAACTATCGCTCCTATGTCTTCCTCTATATTTCCTCCCAATCTCAGTGCACCCACCATCAACGTTCCTGGATCTACTACTACGGCACCCCCACCACTACCACCTCAAACTGCAACTGCTACCACAACCGCCACTCCTGTCCCGATCAGCTTTTCATCTGATAGTTCTTCTTCCCCAGAAACTGAAGATGATGATGATGATGATGATGAAGACGATATCGACTTCCAAGGACAGCCATCAAATACTGCTGGTAGCAGCCGCAAACGAAAAAGACAATCATCCAGTAGTACTAACAGGATGATGGAGTTCTTTGAGAGTCTAATGAAACAGGTAATGCAAAAGCAGGAGACCATGCAGCAAAGGTTCTTGGAGGTGATAGAGAAGAGAGAGCAAGATAGGATGATAAGAGAAGAAGCTTGGAAGAGGCAAGAGATGACAAGATTGGCTCGTGAGCACGAGCTTATGGCCCAAGAGAGAGCCATCTCTGCTTCCAGGGATGCTGCCATCATTTCCTTTTTGCAGAAAATTACTGGTCAGACCATTCAATTGCCTTCTGCTGCTCCGCCACCTCCACCACCGGCACCAGCACCAGCACCGGCGCCTGTAGTAGTTGCACCAGCAATCCCTGTCCCAACACCAACACTATCTCATCTGCCACTATCGATACCACACGAACAACGAGATCAACAACCCCAACGACGACATCAACATCAACATCAACATCAACATCAACATCAACAGCAACAGCAACAACATCAGTCCCAACATGCTGAAGCTTTGAGGCATCAACCGGCCTCCACTTCCTTACCTTCTTCTGAAGTAGTCATCGCAATTCCCGAACAACAGGTACCACCGCAGCCACAGGAGATTAGCGGCAGTGGAAACTTTGAACCCACTTCCTCAAGATGGCCAAAAGTAGAAGTTCTTGCACTTATAAAGTTAAGGAGTGGACTTGAACCCCGGTACCAAGAAGCTGGGCCTAAGGGACCTCTTTGGGAAGAAATCTCCGCAGGAATGCAGCGGATGGGTTATAAGAGGAGTGCCAAGAGATGCAAGGAAAAGTGGGAGAATATTAACAAGTACTTCAAGAAGGTCAAAGAAAGTAACAAGAAACGCCCTGAAGATGCCAAAACCTGCCCCTACTTCCACGAGCTCGATGCACTCTACCGGAAAAAGATAATCGGCAGCTCAAGTGGCACTAGTAGCTTTAGTAGTCAGAATAGACCAGAAGAACTACAGCCAGAAGTACAGCATCAGCAGGAAAGCATCAAATTGGATCCAGTCCCACCAGCAAATCTCCAAGAGAGCGGTAATGTTCCAACTGTAATGCCGCCACTACAAGTGACGCAAGCTTCTGAATCAGTTAAGCAAAATGTAGCAAATGTCGATGCACAAGCAAGTAATATAGGTTTGGCAAGTAGCCTCTTTGGAGAAGGAAATGGAGGATCATCAAAGAAGGTAAAAGTTATTTTCTTTTTTAATTTTTAATAATTCAAAATAAATGGAAAAAAGTCTTTATCATATCCTTTTTTATACAGAATTAAATAATTAACTAATATTGCCATGGTCATTTCTCACCACATGGATCTTTTTGATGCCTATTGATTCTTGTTTTCATATTGAAGCCAGAAGACATTGTGAAGGAGCTGATGAACCAGAAGGAGATGCAACAGCAACAGCGAGCGCCGTCCATAATGGATGATTTTGATAAATACAGTGACAGCGAGAATATGGAGCAAGAGGAAGATGATGAGGATGAGGATGATGATGATGATGATGATGATGAGGATTTAGAAGAGAGGAAGATAGGTTATAAAGTAGAATTTGAGAGGCAAAAAGCAAACACATCAAACGGGGGAGGAAATGGGACACCCTCTTTCTTGGCGGTAGTTCAATAATATTAAAATTCGGGGGAGGAGGATTGCAGGTTGGTGGGGTTCGTTCTTCATCACCAAAATGTACCATATGTACCTTTTTGTTCAGAAGCCTAACAATTCAGTTGCAAGCCTCATAACTAAATTAATTCTTCCTATTTTTTCTTCTTTCTCATATCTTTTCTTTTTAAAATTTCTTTCTTTCATGTTCATCCATGCTACCACATCTTCTTCTCGTCATCGTCATAGTCATCGTCATCGCCATCGTCATCATCACCCTCCTCTTCTTTTTCTACTTGTTGAGCAATACAGGTTTTAAGATGGGGAGGGTGGGGTGGCAATTGGTTTCACATTTTGAATTTATTGATTTGTTGGAGAATAAAGAACCGTTGCAAAGGCACGGAAGGGATTGAATGAAGAGAAACAAAATAAGCTTGCCCAGCAGCATAATCATCCAAACGTAGAGTGGAAAAGATAGAGAGAAACACAGACCGACGGAGAAGCAGAAGTCGTTTGTTTCAGTATTTCTTTTGATATTAATTCTTTGTTACTTGCTTTGTTTTGAATTAATAATATGAATGAAAGAATCTGTGTTTTCCATAATGTCATCTTCTTTTACGTTGTAATAGTGACCCGTGATTGGCGAACTACTGGATGTCAGCCTTATAAAATCTCCTTTAGGTTAAACATATTATAACTTAAAAAGGATTGATCATCTTAAAATTTAGATGAAAACAAATAAATGACAATAATTACAAGGCACGATAGATAGAGTGAGTGGATTTTGAAAAGAAGGAAATTAACTGTGTAAAAATACAAGGCATTCCTCCAAGTTATGTATATATCTTCCATTTCATTTATCTTTGCATAGCATTTGCAATATTTCATTTCAGGCTTATTCATTGTATACCCAGATGTGTAGAGGTATAAGAAAGAAAGGTGGATTAAATACAAACTGTTTTAATGAAGAAATTATGGATGAGTATTTCATACAAATGAAAGAATGGGAAGAGGAGAGATATACATTGTCGTGTGTATATATATATATATATACTAGGGGGAAAATGTAAATGGAAATGGAGTCCACTTACAACAGCAATGCCAACTAGCAATGGAAATGCAACATGGGGTTCTATCTATAACGCAATTATGTTCCACTTACATAGCCCTACCCATGTGCCTTCCTCCCAAATCCCATACATACTCTCCCACTTGTTACTTTCCTTTCCTTTTCTTCCTTTATTGCTGTGAGTGCTGCTCATTTATTCAGCCCCCCTTTCTTTTTATTTATTTATGCATGTACTCTACTCCTTTTTATTTATTTATTTTATATAAATATACTACCTTAATTCATCTGTAAGAGGTGCATCAAGCACAAGCACATGGTTTTGGTTGCCGGATTTGCACTTCAGTTAACTCACAGTCTCTACTTGTAAACTAACCATTTTAATTGTAAAGAGGAACCGGATGGTGTAGTGGACTGGAGCATATTATAATAATATGCATCTATTCCAATTTTAAAAATATAATACTGAATTATATACTATTAGCATCAGCATCAGCATCAGCATCTCATTCTTACAGGATTTTCCATCCACAAACCCATAAAGTACATTGTCTCATCACATTCACCTCATAAATTTTCCATCCATCAACTACCTCTCTTTCGAATCAACTTCACTTGTTAACGAAATACTATCTACAATGTTCAAACAACTGCAAATTCACACAGGTAACTTCAAGTAATTCTTCTCAATTCCCAACTGCTACAATCTCTGATTCCCAACTTAATTTCATCCCTTCAATAACTTAACACCTCGATTCTGTAACCCACTGAGCTAACTGTTTCCGTACCCAGGATTCTCTTGTTTTCACTTAATTGACATGTTTATTTAATCGTTAGCTTACCCATGGTTGACTATCATTGACCGACAAAACCTTCATTATTTTTAAACATTAAACTTGCAATTAATCAACACCATTCCAACCAAGCAATAATAGAGGAATCTCTTTAGGCTGCGTTTCGTCTGGGGTGATATAAGATTAATCTTGTAATCTTTATTTAATTTTCAAGATTCTCTTGTTTGGTTGTTAAATAATAAAATATTACGTAATTTTTTATTGTAAATAGTATTTACTATTGGTAATATTAGGGGTAATTAGATTATCTTACCAAAGAGTGTTAATATAAGATTACTAAGGTAATCTTAATTTTGATCATATTTTACCCTTAACCTTTTATCATTTCAGACACATTTGCTCTTATATGTCTACCAAATAACAATTACCCAGACCCCCTATATTTGAGAATTTAGCTAAAACACCCCAGCTATAAAAAGTTTAAAAGTTAATAAAATACCCCCAACCACCCAAGACCATCGTCGGTTGCTAGCCACCACCACTGGCCGCCGACAAAAGTGGTCATATTGACACAAGACCGACGGGATCTTGCCGCTCCTATGCTGGTAAGGATGTTTCCGACCATGAAACGCCAAAAGGCCAGATCTTTGGCCGTTTCACATTCACGACTAAATGTAGATCCATGGCCAAATTAGGCCTTACTGGCGCACGATCACCCAGATTCGACCGATCATGCGCCATTACGACGGCTGGTGGCAGTGGTGGTTAACTGCCGGCAATGGCTTGGGGTGGATGGGGGTGATTTTGCTACAAATTAAAGTTTTATATGGTTGAGATATTTTAGCAAAATTTCAAATATAAGAGGTTAAAAGAAATAATTTAAAAATTAATATTATATTATTATTTAAAAAATGAGGACAATTTAGTAATCTATATAACATACCCACTCATTTATTCTCTCAACCAAACAAATTATTGTAACATACCTACTAATTTATTCTAACCAACCAAACACATTTCTCTAAAGATTCCCTAGCAACTCCCTTCCTCCTCCTTCCTCTTCCTGCCCCTGCCCCCCCCCCCAAAATGTTTGGCCTAAAGATGCATACAGCCTAACAAGTCTCTCAGCCAAAAATAAAAAAACAATAAAAATCAAAGAAACTCAACTAAATATTCAACAATTTGGTTTCTTTTGGCACAATTTAAGAAATTTGAAAGGCTCTCCACTTCAAACTGCACCTAAGAGGACTGCATGATATTGGAATAGTGCCATATTGATCATGGCCAGTTGATTTTATGCTCTTAGGGTCACTTCATGTTGTGGCACAAATATTTAAACATGTATTCATATAAGGTAAAAAGTAAGTTAAAAGTGAAAACATCTTTGAAACCCAATTCCAAAACTGAGATCCTACAATAGCTCTGGTAAGATTTAACCTAAAACTTAGGGATGCTCTACAACTCCTGCTTGCTCTTACTTCTTTTCATTTTTGCTTTAAACCTGGACTTTGCCATGAGCGTCTGTACTGTATTTATGAAGTTCCCAACTGCCATTACAACCAAAAGGACCCCACAAAAAATTACCTGCCAAAAACAATTTTCCATCACCAATATTGTTATGACATAAATGCAACCATGTCAACTTTCATTTTAATTTAATATCATACTATCCTTTTAACCTATAAACAAAGGAAGATGTTCCACATGACACAAGTGAACAAAAATATATATATAATAATAATAATAATATTTTGAATAACCAACCTGCCATTCAGATACGACCCCATCCAATGCAGTCCTAAGCAGCAGTAATCCAACATATGCCTCAAAACCCTAACATCAAATTCATAAACATAAAGAAAACAATAAGTTGAAATCAGGTCACTGTGACAACTTCAAAGAAGTCAAATCCCAGATGCAAACCAAATTTATTGACTAATTTCATTAAAATTGAGGAAGTACAGGGAAAGGATGCTTCATGCTAAACTGGAAAGAGCACAAAATAACCAAGAAGCACTTATACAAAATGCTCGAAGAATATCAAACTCAAATGACTCATGCTCCTTGCAGTGACACTAAATTCAGTATACACAAAAGAGCACACATACACAATAGAACAAAGAAGAATCTATACAAAGTTCTCAAAGAATATCAACTATGATCCTTGCAGGGACACTGAAACCAGTAAAAAGGTTGAGTAAGAACTTAAGAGAAAAGAAGCTGCAACTGGTTTGAATCTTGAAGGAAAAGAAACCAATATTTAAATTTCTCTGTGTAAAATTTTACACAACTGAAACCAGCAATCTACACACAAGTAGATAGAATTTACAGTCTCTCAAAGTTCTGCACTTGTGTAGTAAGTCACTAAACATGGAAAACCACTAAACTTAAAGGCATGCTTCTGTTTCTAACACACCACACAGTTACATGTGATAGAGTGCTGGTCATGAAATGACACCTTTCTCTGGAAACAAAAAAGGCTACAAAGGAGTGATCTTAAAATTTCGTTGATGCAAACAAATAATCAATGAAGGGCATTAATTTGTAAAATATTATTTTAAGAGGATAAAAACTTTTAAGGCAATTGTTACATAGGTAAATTTGTACAATAACTAGTAATCACAAAAATAGCTTGAATCACCTGCAAAATGAAAAGCATTGGACACAAGAGCCATAGTTGGCCATCTACACCAGCTGTTTCTCCCCAAACAACATCCATTCTCTTGGCCTGAATAAAAAAGGAAATATATTTAAGAACTCTAATCGAAAATTATGCATTTAAAACTGGGGCATTCTATATCCTGTTCAATTCGGACTAAAATAGGAGACATAATATTTATATCAACAATGATAGGGGAGATCCTAAAAGAACGAAGACAGGCAAAAAGGGATCAAGAATTCATAAATGACATAATCAATGTAAACCAAAGAATGATAAAGCAAAAATAAAATCTGCAATGCATAAAGTAATTTTGTCAAGACACCTTTCCCAATGCAATACGAGTATAGAGTCTCTGGCGTTGATATCTGTTTTGGAGAAGCATGGAAACTCCTTGCATCATAGCCCATTGAAGGAAAAGTTGAACCCCTCTCTGTACAATGTTTATCTAAATTTTAATCAAACAGACTAAAAATATAATCAGCAGGTAATGGAGTAAGTGTAACCTGCTTTTGTGCACAATTTGGCTGTCCTTTAATCTCCCACGTGAGACTAACAAGGGCCATAAGCATAGCACAGTAATGATGGTAAACCCACCTGCATAAGTATATTCAGTATCTTTGCTGAAATAGTCTGCAATTTCAGGGATGAAATTAATAAAATAAGCAAGCTTGTATGCCAAAGATTGTCCATTTTGATAAAAATTTCATTTCCATTAATCTTCAATAATGAGTACATTAGAACCAAGAGAGGGATGCATATACACAACAAACAACAAAAGTTTAAAAAATTAGATAGTACACTATTGTAGATACAATTCATCAAATACAGGTAGAGAGTACCACTTGAGGCTATAATCTGGTTCATCTTCCACACTTGTTTTGTTTGTTATATGCTTACTCTTGTTCTACACATACTTAAGATTGGGAAATGGGCAAACAAATTTTAAGAACAGGGAAAATAAAGTAAAAAAAGAAACTCAAAAATCTTTTTCTTATCTGAATTGCTGAGATAACATAGCAGCAAGACAACAGGGTGACAACAAGGAAATTAACAACCTTCAGATTAAAATTTAGGGAAAATAAGGAAGAAGAGAAGTGGATGCTGGTATTAAGTTTTAGCTTCAAGAACTTCCAGTTTATGGAGATAAATTGCATCAGTGAGGTTGCTTTTACATAAAGTAATTCCTTAGTAGATTCTCATATTTGAAAGCTCTTTAGACCACAAAGAAGAAGAAACAATAAAAAGGGTGAACTACAAGTTAGTATCAACTGAGAATGGTGATTGTTCTCTTATAAATTCCTACCTTTCATGATCTTATATTGCCATATGTCTCGACCAATTAAGTGAAACAGACCATAATCTAGATAAATATGGTGACATAAATTACCACAATCATCAACATATGTTGGTAATTTTCCATGATGTGCTTAAGGTTCCAAATGGCATAACAAGTCATTCTTGGAGGTTTCAAGGTCATCTAGCGCTCATGATTCAAAAAGTATTATCGTGATTTCCCCCTAACAACCCTGAAAAGCCTCAAAACTTTAATGCTATGGCAATATGTAGGATTTGAGAAGGGTTTCCTATTTATTTACTTTATTCACTTATTTTATATATTATCATTATCATTTATTAACTTTTAGGGGACGGGGGAAGGAGTGTATAATAGGCACAGTGACTACAACAATAACGACTAGCTTGCAAAAAAGTGGCCAACTTATTGTCATCATCAACATTGATAAGATCTGATGACAATTTGCAGCTCTTCATTTATCCATATTGCATGGCACAAAACGGAGGACGAAAGCCAGCCTCAACTGTTTCTTCCCTCATCAAGTCATAAACTGATCCATCAATCATGTGCAATCCCAAACTAATTTATAAGTCCTGTCTCTTGGAGACAAATTCTTTCAAATGTGTATGCTAGGACTATCAGGATGGTTTATCTTAAACTTGAGTTGGAAGTCATAAGATTCCATAATTAGCATCAAGATGTAAAATCTAGATAAAAAGGTACATGTCACAAATGTTACTATGTGGATAATATAAAAACAAAAAGACATAAAAGGAAAAACAGAAAAGATGATGAAGAAATAAAACCTTCACAGAAAATATTACAATAAAACTTATGAACAACATCTTTTATTTGCATCCTCTGTTCATGAGCTCAATCTTCTCAATTTCATAAGTGTCATCTCACGAAGATGTTAGTGAACATAACCACAAGTTTTGTTCAACATTATGAAAATAATACAATTATTTAATAGCTAGATGTAATTAGATTTAGGAAAAGGAAGAGGCAGGAACCCGGTTATACTGATATAAATTTGAACTGAGGCAGAAGTCACCATTCAAAATAATTCTTGGTATTTGATTGTACTATATATATTTATGATGATGAACATGATGAAACCTATAATGAAATTGGGTTGGTGTCGTCAAGTACAGAAAAGATAATACACATATAGGAGCAGAATAAGATGAATTATTATTGAAAAAGGCAATATACCAGGGGCGAATGTCACTTCCATTGAGTCTCAAAATGTTCTCTCGCAAAGCCAAACCAGTATAGAGGAACAAGAGCCATGCCTAAGAAAGAATATGGCGAATGGGCAATGTTAAGAGATTAAAAATAGCATTTAAAACAAGAAGAAAACAAAAGAGCATTACCTGATAGAGTTGAACAGGAAATGCAGGCAAGCATCCATCCCAGATCCAGGATCTTAATATAAGAAGCGTGGAGGGAAATAGAAGAAAAAGAAGGGCAGTCCTATCCTGCTCCACCCACAAGCAACTTATATAACAAACAATCAAATTGAAAACAAAGGAAAGGCATAGAATCAGACACATACCCTGTAAGCGTTGTACTCCTCTTTAACCTTCAATTGGACATCTTTGCGGGAGGCTCGAACATTAATTGGACCAATAAACATTCTAAGAAAACCACCTAAGCAAGAAGAGAAGAGAAGAGGAAGAAATAAATAAATTAAATAGAGATATGTAATAGAAAAGAAAACAGTGAAAAAGAAAAATACCCTCTGCTTTGGTTGGAAGGAAAGCAGAAGCATCGCCATCATATATCAAACATGTAGCTCTCTGTAAATCTTCTTCGAGCTTGTCAACCAACTTGGAATCAAAATTGTTGGAATGAAGTAAAGAACGCAAGCGGCGAATATTAGAATCCAAAGAAAGAGCACGCTGTCTTAAAGATTGTTCTTCACCCGATGTTCGATTAATAAGAGAAGCAGCCGAATCATGCAACTCTTTAGCCTCTTCGACAACCCTTTCAACTTCCTCTTCAACCTCCCTTAGAGCCATCGGATTTTTTTTTTTTTTTTTTTTTTTTTTTAAATCTAATTATAAAACAAAGCAAACTACCCAATCCCAATCCCAATTCCAATCCCACCGATCTCACTATAAACTAGGTTGTGCTTTCCTTGTCTTTTTGGTAACATAACCCCCCAATTCAATTCCTTGGACCCAAAAACTTCTGCCCTCATTCAACCTTTTTGTTATTAATGTTATTAAGAGTAGACGACATGTGCCCACCCAAAGTTTCGCGTACTGACAAGTTCCCACCCCTGATTTCATAAATTCCAGATTCCCACCCAAAGACCAACACTGTTAGCAATTGCTAGGTTATGACCCAAGGGCAGAGGATGTTATTACTATATAGTCCTTGACAAATAAATTAATAAATTATTTTTAACCCCCAAATTAATAGAATTAGAAAATAACATCTTACTTTTAAATTATTTCAAACCTTCACATTATCCCATCTCCAACCAACCAACCTAGCCACTGCCACTGCCGCCACCTAGCCACTACCGAACACTAGGGTGCGTTTAGTGTAGTATTTTGGATAGGATTTTGAGGATAGTATTGGATTGTTGGATAGGGGAGTATTACAAGGTAAATTTAAAAAATTTATGAAAAAGCCCTTAGGTTTACTAATTTAATTAAAGACCCTACTATATAAAATGACAAAAACACCCCCACCACCTGTAGTGTCAGATTCCGACCGCCATCGCTGGAATCTGGCCGGAAAATTTCGTTATGGCACAAACCGATCGGATTTATGCTGTAACGCATCATTATGGCCTTTTCCGACCAGATCCACCACGGATCTGGCCGGAAAAGGCCAGATCTACGGCCTGTTATGGCCGTCGACGGTCGGAAAGGCCAAAACGACGGCCATCTTTGGCCGTTAGCGATGGCCAAAGATGTGGCCGTCGTTTTCGGTCAACGATGGCCATTTCTTTAGCTGTCGTTGACGGCCAGATCGGTGTAATTCCAGCCATTTATGGTCGGAATTTAGGCCGTTGTATAGATTCTGGCTATCACCGGCGATGGTTACCGGAATCTGACAAGTTGGGTTGATGGGGGTGTTTTTGTTAATTTTAAAAAAAATTCAGGGGGTATTTAGTGAAATTAATAACCTTATGAGGTCTAAAAGTAATTAAAAAAATAAGATAATATTTTTGGAATAGTGTGTCAAACATTATTTGGAGAATAGGATTGAGAATATAGATAAAAATAGGGAGCCAAACGAACCCTATTATGCTTTTTGAAATTCAATAAATATTTAATCACATTATGAACAACCTGTAAGCTGCAGCATAAATTTAAACTAAAAATCAATTAAACAAATATTTAGTAACCTTCAAGCCAAGAGACGCAGTAAACCAAACCAAAAGAAGAAGAAAACCCAAACCCCATGGACTGCCGTGAAAAATTCTGTTTCTAATAATTCCAGATAATTTTTTGTTTTCCTTTTACAATAAATTAATAAGAATTACAGGATACTTGAAATTCTTTTTCTCTCAATAAATAATAGTAATGAACAAATTAAAAGTCATGTTTCCAAAGAACCAGTCATCCTTAAAATTGAATTCCGAACTCGACTTAAATCTCTCCCAACGATTACATGCGGCAGAGTGATTTCTCCATCTTCATGTTCTTCTTCAAACTCATCCGTATCCACGAACAGGTAAATGTCACCTGGGCTGGGAGTTGGTTTGGGCAATGCGTCAAGCAGGTGTAGGGCGACAGTAGTGGCAAGGAAAATCAGTGACCGACGGTGGGAAAAACAGCTAGAAAAAACCCACAACCCATTAACAAATCAAATTCACTTCAAAACACAACAAAAACCCAGCAAATCGAACTTCAAAAGAAGGCTCCAAATCAACCCAAACCTAGTTGTTACACGAAGAGATGGTGAAGTGACGGACGGCGACCGGCGACCAAACGATTGTCAAGGATGGAAGGGGCTTTTGTGAGGGGCGACTGGTGAGGTGAATGGCAGTGACGGGAGGAATTTCTGTTGTCGAAATCAATGGGGAAATAGCAAAAGTCGCACGGGGAAGAAGAAAAAAATGGAGAAATACGAGAGGGATATGGAAAGTCACGGCTAGATCTGGGCTGGACAAGTTCGACCAGTAACTGGGCAGACACAATCATAGGAAAAAGGCCGAGAAAGCGGAAGATGGAGAGATTGACTGATTGAGTTGAGAGGGTTTTGGAATCCTCTCTCTACTCTCCTGCAAAATGACTATTTTACCCCCTCACTGTTATATTAAATGATTTTCGGTTAGTTTATGGGTGGTAATTTGAAATATATGAAACCAAGGGTGGGAACGGGGCTTTTCGCGAAGCCTTGGGTGGGAGCACTGTATTATTAATTATTAGTATTATTATTTTCGTGTGCAACTCTGAAGTCTGAACCAAACTCAAACGCCCTCTTCCGTCCACACATTTTACAATTTAACGATACAAACCCCTTTGTCCTTGTCCCCTCGCTTCTTGCCCCTTGCCCCCACCCCTACCCTTTCTATCCACATATTATAATAAATTTCATCCTTTTTTTCTTATTTAGGCAGCGCCCATGTAACCTTTAATTGCAATTTTCAAAGTCAAAAGTTTCTAATTGCTACATTAATTATGATATATTCTCCAATAAAATTCTTTGAAAAAAAAAAAAAGATGGGTGGTCATTATTCTTATCCTAAACCTAGTGAGGTAAAGCCTCCCCGAAGCTTTAGAGCTGCCTTAAATTGATTATACTAAATTAAACAACATTTTATTCAACCACCAAGCCTGCAAGAATTACAATTGGGCTTTCATACTGTATACCTAATTCTTGTGAAAGTAGCTCTCTTTTGGTGGGAGCAAAAAGACACAATAGTTTTCTAGTTTGTTGTTTTTGTCCTTTGAAAGGAGAGATTGAGGAGGAAATAATTATTCAACTTAAAGCATTCCCTTTGGGGTTGATTTTGTATACTACTTGGTAGTTTTTGCTCTATATTTGAAACAGAAATAGAAATTTGATGAGGGTGGTTGCCTGGTTGGGCAAGTGGGTGACCTGCACATTGCCTGATTAGATCATTATGGTTACATGTCACTTACATCAACTTCTTAAATGAGACATTGCGTACTAAAATGGAGAATTGAAGAGTCGCAATCGCAAATAAGTTTAAGAAAGAATGAAGGGTGTTATACCGAAAAAAATAGGGCTGACGTAGAGTCTCGTCAATAAAGGATGGTCAGAATTCAGAAGAGTTCTACGTTGTCTAGGTGCGGCCACATCGCTCATAGCGCAAGTGGCATGGTTCCTGTCAGTACAGTAGGTGAGTGTTAGGTCAGTAAGCGACTGGAGATCGCCCACGTATCAAAGTCCTGTTTTAATCGAGGAAATCCCACAGGCAAGTGATCAATGAGACACAAAGAAATGATTTGCACAGCACTTTCCCACTCAAAGCTTTCATAATCATTACCTTGAACTTTCCTACTATAAATAAAGGACTCCCCTCTCATTTGTGAGGGATGATTAACTGATTTTACGCTGAAATAGTTCTCTCTCTCTAAACTGTAACTCAGCTCTCGGAACGCGACCTGATCTCTCTCTTATTAATACAATAGCAATGAACGTAGGATTCACTTTAGAGCATCCGAACCACTTTAAATATTGTTCTTCACCTTTTATTTGATTCAATCCCCTCATATCACATGTGACTTCTAAATCATTTTAGCATTTTATACTTGCGAGTAGTTAGTGTCAAAATCAAACATTAGGGTAAGGATTTCCCAAAATAAAAACACTAAATTAATGGCTTTGCGGTATTTTACATTGCAGTTACAAGCTAACAATATTTCATCATCAACAACCAACAACCGATAACAAAATAGAGGCTGCTTCTGGGTAGCTAGCGCTTGAAAATTTGGCCTCGTATGAATGAAAGAGATCCATCTCCTTCACAGCTCCACCACTACCCATCTAATTAACAACTTCATTCTCTCTCAACATTTTCTTGAATTAATGAGCATGTTTCCAGTCCTACTACGTAAATATGATCACGAGATAATGATGAGCAAACCTACCTATTTCACATTTGAAAACAAAAACAGCTGCGTGCATAAAGGACATAAACAAATAAAACTACATACAACTCTGCACTAGTGTTGTTTTTGTGTAGCTTCACCAGTCCAATAGGTTTTGACTGCAAAAAGGACTTTCTCTGGATTAAACGGTCCATTCTCATGGTCCATTATCTGGCTCTTCCATCTCATTCCTTCTGTTATACTCTTTATCTTCACAAGCAACTCTACTGTATCCCTGAATATAACTGTTCCTTCTGGCCTCAGAATTCTATCCATCTCCAACAGAATGTAGGTAATGTCACACCTTCAAATTCAATGTACATCAATTAAGATCAAAACATTTACAAGTTTATGATAGATTAATCAATTAATTAGTTAATCAACTGTTAAATTACCTGTCCTGGTATATACTGAACACACCACTAGCATGGATTAGATCATATGTTCTTGGATACGTTGAAAAAGCCTCACACCAATCTTGATATGTACCAATGAGACCCCGTTCATATATAATGCCTAGGGTATCTTGATTTGAATTCACAGGAACCACATTCATCACCCACAATGGATACTTTAACAGAGCTGCAGCAAATCCCCCAATATATGCATTCATGTCCATTACATTCCGGTATCTTCCTTTGGGTAATAAACCATTTATGCTTTTATAACGTCTCACCCTTTCCTTCCATAGTTCATTATCCGCTTGGAACTTTTCTTCATTTATACCTGGTATTGTCCCTCTGCTGATTCTAGGAGGAACAGCAAATGCTCGCTCTGGCCATTTCTCCAATGAACCACCAGCAACTTCATCTGGGTTGCTAACTTCTGGCAGCGGGGTAATGCAACTTTCCATATCTCTGTACCTAATTTTAAGCACATGAGCAGTTAATAAATGTTACATATATAATATAATAGGTAGCATGAGAATGAAAAATGCTGAGATCTATTGAGTACCAAGCAGTGTCTGGATTTTCTGACTTGCATATATGTGGTGTTTTATAGACCTTCCTACTTTTAACACACTCAATGTGGTTGATAGGCTTCTGCCAAATTGCTAGATCATCCTTTTCAATAACTTTCTTCCAGCAGAGCCGCTTGGCAACAGTCTCAATAGCATTTTGTTCAGCATTCAAATCTTGTTTACTTCTTTCCCAACCTCTCCAGTATTTCTTCCACCGAATAGGAGGACCCGAGAGAACCCAATAACCACCAGGTCTTAAAACTCTATCTATTTCAAGTAGATATAAACCGTCTGTAACCATTCAAACAATTTTTTAGATATGTAATTCAATTTTTTTCTACTATCAGGGAAATTAATTGGAGATTGATATCAACATTATATTATATTTGGTGTTTAGTTTTAGCTATTAAGACAATGACTTATTATAGGCAATGAAAATCTATAAATCATTGAGTAATTCTTCACTGGAAACAGGCATGTTGTTCATTTTGTTTATTTTAATAATAAAACACAAATGTCAAGACAAGATGTTATTTGGCACAATAAACAAATTTAAAGAGTTGTGAAATAAAATAGACAGGAATCAGGATAGGACCCTACCGTATTGATGCCAAGGTATCAAGCAGCGGGAACAGTGAGCCATATCAAAAGCCCTAGCTGGGTAAGGAAGCCGCTGAGAAGCCATAATGCCAATCATAGCAGGGACTCCTCGTTCAAGTGCAAATTGAACTTGTGCTTCATGTGTATCCCTGGGTGCAAAAGACATTGCCAGGATGTCCCTCTTCAAAAGATATGCACCCCAACTTGCAACCTTAAAAGATAAAACCAAAAATATGACAATTTTAAGCACTTTTTACCATGAAAAACTTATGATAAGTAAGGTATAAGAGTCTTAAACAAACATACTGAACTTGGAAACTTATTTAACAATTTTACTTACACCGCAGCCCGTATCAATTGCAGTTCTAATGGTTCCACTTTTAAGAGGAATAAGCTCAGCAATATCATCGATGTATGCATCAGCTCCATGGGGGAACATAGTGCCGCCACCAGGGAATCGGAAGCGGTCACCTTCTGCTTGAATCCAGTTCTGAACAGCCTTCTCTATACTGAGCTCTTTATGGGGGATATTGTCATACCAGGCATAGTCGCGGCTCTGTGGCCATTTAAAAGGGTTTTTATATTTAGGTGGAGCAGGTATTAAGCAGTGAAGAAGCTCATCGGTTTTAGGACAATGGCGCTCCCTGTATTTCATCATTTTTCTATCAAATTTCCTACCCCTCACTGGATCTTGGCAGGGAGTATATTCACTATACTTCATCTCACAAGCTGGAAAGTTTTGCACTGAATCTGAATTATTTATTTCAATTTGATGATGACTATCAAAATCCAAAACACCTGATGATGTTGATGGCAATGGTTGTGGATTTAGTAGGGGGTTGTTATTTTCGGTCCCGTTATTATTACAACTAGCTTTAGTATACGCATCTGATTGATTGACGAGAGGATTAGTACTAGTAGTTGTCTGCCAAGCTCCCAGAACATAAAACAATATGCACAACCCACTAACACCTAATATCCAACTCAGACGCTTTTTCTTTGATTCCAGTTGATTAGGCTTCGTTGATCCACTGTTCTCCTTGGCCATCTTCAAAAAATCCCTGTAGTAATCTCAAAACACAAATTAAAATATATATGCATGTTGATTTCTTAAGATCAAATTGAGGGATTCAATTCAGAACAAGATAAGATTAGGTAATGAACGGAAGAAGCAGAGATGAGACGGCGAGAATCAGGAACAGTCATCATGAGATTAAAAATGTATTATATAAAAAAGGATAAAGCAACTCAACTAAAGGTAGAAAAAATTATTATTAAAGCTTTTTCGCATTGGAGAAAGCATAACAACCCAGATAACGACAAAGCTTAATTGAAAAAAGAAAAGAAAAATGAGAAGCTGTTTTTCCACAAACTTTGCAGACCCTTTACGAAGGCTGTTTAATTTACTATTATGAAAAAAAAAAAAAAAAATCTTTAATAAATCCAGAAAATAACATTGGAAACCCAGAAGAAAGATATAAAGAAAGAAGCATACCTGAGGAAGTTTCACAACTAAAAGTAGTTGAATATACAAAGATTAATATGTTTAATAAAAGTAACCATGGAAGTAATGGAAATGTGAAGTATTAGGAAGGAAAAATAAGGAGGTAGAAAGAGAGGGAAATGGAAGAATAATATGTTATACAAAAAGGAAGGAAGGTTAATGGTGTCCGGCAATAGAGGAGATGGTGAGAGATAATAGTGAAAAGATAAAAGAAAACTGTTAAGCTTACTTATTGTTGTTTGGTTTCCAAAAATGGAGGAAAGGAAAGTAGAGGAGGATGGATTTGGTAAAACAAAGGACAAGCTTATGCCTGAAAATGAGCGTTTACAGAAGACTGACCAGCCTTTTTTTTCTCATCTCCACAAGTATTATTTTCTCTCTCTTCTCTTCAATCTCCGTAATTTTAGCTTCTTTATCCAATTATTTTATTTTATTGTTGTCTATACCATAAGCCTCCACTTGCAATTCCTGTTAATATTAGTAAGTCATTGTTAATGCTCACGTATAGTTGTAGATAAAGATATGGCCTCCAATTGAAAAAGAAACAGTGATTTCGAACCAAATTGATATCTTCTTTTGGCAAAACACACTCTTAGAGAAGTAAGTTCCCATTCGAGATTGCAGCTACCACTAGTCCAAGAAATTGAAGCACGTACTCATGCAACCAAACTCCAAATAAAACACCTAACACGTGCAACAGATTTCTAGTCAAAAAGATGTTTTGGTTATGTCACTGTCCAAAGACAACAACTCTCCTATTCAAATTTATGCTCATTAATCATGAATTATAATCAAATATTTATAATTAATATCATTGAAACAAGTATAGATTGCACTCTCGACTCATCCCATCCTTATCTTTTTCCATAAGAATTTGAAGTGCAAACGTTTATTTAAATACCATCCTCCTTTTTTTGCTTGGAAATTAAAAAGCAGACCATTAATCGATGGTTCTTTAATAGTAATTATCACACCACATGGTGTTTGCCCTGACTTTTTTATACATTTGAGCTTGAACCGATTTCTTCTATGCACTCATCTTCTAATCTTCAATTATTTTCCCTCCTTTTTCCCACAAGTCCAAACGTTCATTTGGAGATCCTTCTCTTTATTTTATTTATTGGCAGACATGTTATTGACGTATCAGAATTCAGAAGATTAAATAAAGCGACTCCCTTTATTAGTGATAATGACACCACATGGTTGCCATCACTTTGCTTTTATATTATACATTGAGTTTACATAATAAGTATAACTAATGTATGTGAGTGTTAAGAGTTACAGGATTGCATAGGCCAATACCCCAACCCCAAGATATATTATAATCACAGTTGCCTACATGCAAAAGCAAAACTGCCCAGGGCTGAATATAAACTATACGAACTTTACAATGTAGCAGCATTCATAATCACACTTTGAATCTATCCATCGCAAGCTGCCACTAAAAAATAAATGAAAGAAACCACATAATTTACATACAGTAGGCCGATCCGATAACCTAATTCAGTAATTCTCACATTCGGCTCCCACCTGCACCCACGCTGGACTATGGGTGAACACCTACCTCACCACCACGTTCTACAAAGGGCAGGGCGCACCATGGCCACGCTATGATACCAATCACCAGACTGTCAACTGACAATAGCATCTCCAGGAGTATATAAATGATTGGGTTCATCACACGCTATCACTTGGTATGAACTTGAAATAATCACACAAGTCCTGGAGCAATGCGAGAACCATGACAACATCCAACTCATTCACCATATGCTGTTGTCCAACATCTTGAATTTTTTAGCAATTGTCTGTTGATTCCCGCGTCCATACACTACAATTAGTGATCGCATGGCCTTGGATATCATCTGTTTCTTTTGGTTCTCAAAATTATTTTCAGACTCAGGCTGAGTAGCTGACTCCCCCAGTGATGAGCATAGCATCTTAAACCACTCCTCAAGAAAGGAAGCTTTCTATATAAAAAATAAATAAATAAAAGAAACAAAACTTGAGAAAAATTATAGTAAATCATATACTGAAATGCTGGCCATTTATATAACCAAATATCAACTAGAAAGCAATATAGGTTACTCCTTTAATTTAACCAATATGTTGACAAAGATTTAAGCAAGAATGATTAATGCAAACACTGAAACATATGAAATAACCCACTCTTGTAAAGGCAGCCTTATATATCAAATTCTTTAAAACAGGTTCTCACAAGACAAGAGCACAAGAAGATGCAGTGCTACTTAATATTTATTTTATATTTTATAATTTATTTGTAGGCAAATACGTCATTAGTAACTATTAGCAGAAAACTCCATAGCACTTTTGTGCAGTATTTGCAAATAAAAAATGCTTACAAAAATGCCTAGTATTTGTAAATACGAAATGCTTACTTTCACCAGAAAATCTTTCAGAGGTTGGTGATCAATGCTTGAAGCAAGGCTAAGAACGTGCAACATTGTTGAAGTCAACTGTAACAGGAAAAATATAATTAGAAATACTAATCCAGAAAATGAACATACAAAATATCAACCATAATTACAATCGTTTCAAGGGAAGCTTTAAAATACAACCATAAAATCACTCTCTAGACCCCATAATTGTATGATGCAATCAACCCAAAGATTCATTACCTCATCCTCAAAAGAATAAACTCTTTGCCTTCTTAACTCAAGAACCTTTTGATGGGGCACACCATACAACAATTACTAACCCCTATAGAACACTGTTCAAATCTTATGCAACATTTTTGTCCTTGCAAAAACTACATAGCACCTTATCCTCAGTGTCACATATTGGAAAACAACAGTAAGACCTAGTAATAATTCCCAACTATTAAGGGTTGCATAAATGCAATCATGTCAATGAATCAGGTTAATCTGTATTCGTATGATGTTGTCCATTACTTTCATTTCAATATCTAATTAGTATCTGACAATGTTGACCAGCTGCAGAATCTCATATCACTTCTGTCTAGAGTACTGCTATGATGCAGATTATTTAGGTGCTTGACCTGCTTCTCAAGTGCAACTCTATATTTGAAGCTTGATGGTGCTGAAATTTGGTCTGAACCTAAATTCTCGAGTATATGCTCCAATCCTTGGATGACATCTGAGAAGGAATTCCCATAATCTGCATCAAAAATAAGGAAGGAAACCTTGTTATCCAGCTTTAGCATTTTATGGTAGATGGAAAGTCACCAACTAAAAACTGCAAGCAGTATGCATAATTATTGATTACATTTGAATAAGATTAAGCTAAACCAATGCTGGTGACATGAAAAGCTGTTGTTGAGTTGCAAGGACAAAATAAAAAAAATAATTAATTTCAGCCATAGCAGCAGGAACAAGAAAAAGTCCTACTTACCATAAAACGATGATGGCACAGCCAAAGCAGCAGCAGCCTGTATCCTGATCTTAAAGTTAGAAGAGTCGCGCAGTAGTAGTAAAAGAACACTGAAAACAGATGGAGCCCTGCCACAAAAGTACGTATGCGCGATTAAAAGGGAAATATCCAGGTCAAGAAAACAAAGCACACTGTGGCCAAAACATGTAAATGACATGAAATAGTTAACTAAATTACCAACAAGAAATTTATCACTTTTTCCTCTGATAGAAAACAAAATGTGGGTATTACTGTAGAAGAGAAAAAGAAGTGGAACACTTGTCCCAAAGCTTAAAACAAAAACAGTCCTTACGGAGACAATCTATACAAACATGTGTAGTTGATTCTTTGGCATGTATGATGAAATAGGAAGGATATAACATAATTGCTTCAAGCAATTCAAATATTTCCCCCCACGTATTTTGTCAAACATCCACAAACTTCAATATGCATATTCTTGGACATCTTCCATATCAACTTGACTAGCTAGTTTCATCATGTTCATTTACTAATAGACACAAAAGCTTAAGCTGATGGGTAAGGGTCCAACAATAGTATTTAAACTCTAATACACCCTTTCATGTGCACTTGCACGTGGACAAATTATGGTCACAATCATAGTCACAAAACAAATTACAATAGTTAATTGATACAATTGAGGAATTCGAACACAAGGCCACCTGGTCAGTTTGTCTTCATTTAATAACACGTTAGGTTACCAATTGGCCTAAATGTTAAAAGCCAATAGGAAAGGACCCAACAATTGTATCTAAGTTCCAACAAACACATCAAAACTTATCAACAAAAAATTAAGATTAAAGAAAATAATAATAATAAATGAACAAAAACATAAATACCCAGCATTTCAACCAAGCAAACACAAATAACTAGTTTTGCCATACCAATCCTTGTCTTGAAGGTTTAATGTCTCGTTTAAAAAAAGGTTGCTCAATGCATGACAAACATTCCATTGAACCTGTTACGTACAGAGTCAAACTTGAGAGGAAAAGATATGGAAGATGGTTCCAATACACAACATCAAATCATTAGAACGATTTTTAATTATAGCAATAGGTGATACCTTAACATTTCCTGTTGTAACACAAGAAAGAAATGCTTGCACCATTCTGTCCAGGCAACGTGAATCTCCCAAACATGCAGGATGGGATGAATTTGCTACACATCCGTGACCACCTGTTTTATCACTGCTTGCTGGTATCACCTCATTATGGTTGGTTAAAACAAAAAAGCGTAGTCCACTGCCTTACCATGCACACATGCAGAACTTGTATATTTAACAAATCTTGCAAGATTTCCAAGAGCCCTCACAGCATTTGACTTGATCTAATGTAAATGAAAATAAAGAGTGTGGTAAAGATACAATCATTACTTTAACTACAAAAAACTAACATATATGATAAATAAATCCAAGAAGGCCAAGCAATGGAATTTTATAGGACAAGAAAGAAATTCCATGTGCGTGTTTGTATCTATTGTTGACAGTGGGGGCAGATGCAAA